TCTCACCCTGAAGGGGAACTCAGAGTGGCTCACAAGATATATATACATACAATATATTCAATTATTAGCATAGTACAATATCAGTATTATATATTACTATACTGTACTACACCATTATATTGTAATATTATTAGTAATATTACATGTAACATAAAATATATAATTACAATATTGTATTATTATTATTATTAGTAGTAGTAGTATTATATGATATTGTATTACATTATTATATTATCAACTAGCTGTACCCGCCACGCTTTGCTGTGGCCAACCTTCCCTCTTTCTCTCCTTCTTTCCCTCCTCCCTTCACTCCCTCTTTCCTTCCTTCCTGTCTTTCTTTCTCTTCTTCATTCTCTATCTCTTTCCTTCCTTCCCTCTTTTTCTTTCTCTTCTGCTGTCTCTTTTCTTCCTTCTCTCTTTCCTTCTTTCCTTCCCTCCCTCTTTCTCTACATCTTCTCCCTTCCTTTGCTCCCAGTTTCCTTCCTTCTTTCCCTTTTTCTTTCCTTCTCTCCTTCCTTCCTTCTCTAACTTTCCTTCCTTCCCCCTTTTTCTTTCCCTCCCTCTTTCTCTCCTTTCTTCCTTCTCCCCTTCCTTTTTTCTTTCTTTCCCTCCCTCCCTCCCTCTTTCTTTTCTTTCTTTCTTTCTTTCTTTTTTTCTCCCCTTCCCTCCCTCTTTCTTCCCTTTTTTCTGTATTGTCATTTACCTTTTTGTCATTTAGCTTTTGGGGGCTTTTTAAGTCCCTTCTGCTGTGTTTTTCAGTGTTTTTATGAGTGAAGGACATACATTGGGTTGTTAGTTGTATTGTGTCCAAATTTGATGTCAATTCCCCCAGTGGTTTTTGAGTTCTGTTAATCCCACAAACGAACATTACATTTTTATTTATATAGATATTATATTTATATACAATATATTATATTATGTTATTAGTAAAGCACAGGAGACATGATGGAACTGACTTCAACTGTAGCCCCCCCCCCCCTTCACTATGGGATTATCATAAGGAAGTATTGCTCCTTTAAGACATTATGGGAATCACCTCTTCAGAGATTCAAGGGTGGCCTCTCCATAAGTGTGTGTGAAAGGCTGAACTGCCAGGATAATTATCCCCAGGTCCTCATTCTCCTTCCCAATCTCTCTACATCGCAGTCTCTGAAACCACCCTGTGTAACCTAAGCTGAGCTCAAAAATGACTAGAAGACTAGCTTAAAAAAGGAATAGCAGCCCCCCAAAGAGGAATGGGAAGTGTCCTGTTTCTCAAGCACACAATCATTGCACGCAAAGGAGGAGAGCAGGGAGAGGCTCTCTTGCCGGCTAGTCAGCGGATCTGCCTTGGCTCACAATTAGAGGATCTGGCCAAGGTGCTGAACCCGATTCCCGAACAGGTCCCAGCCCCTGAGTAGTGGGTACTTCCTTCAAAGTTTAGACTAAAATCACACAGGAGAGTCTCCCTTCATTCTGGTTCTCTCTGTGAGGTTTGAGTAACCCACTCCCCCTGCTTTCCTCCCTTCAGAAGGAAAGTGTTGGTTTTCTGAGTTCCCAAAAGTTGAAAGGTGGCTATATAGAAGGCATGGGCAAACTCTGGCCCTCCAGGTGTTTTGGACTTAAATTCCCACAATTCCTAACAGCCTCAGGCCCCTTAAGCAGCTGAGGGGGGAAAGTAAAGGGCCTGAGACTGTTAGGAATTGCGGGAGTTGAAGTCCAAAATATTCCGAGGGAAAAGTCAATTGAGAAATGGAAACCAACACACAGAGAATGTGAGACTCCTAGGTTAGAAAGATTGCTTGAGATGGAGTTTGTTACTTGTTTTAGATCTGTGTTTGATATTAAGACAAATGTTTTATTTTTGCAAGGGGGATACGGTTCCTTGGTTTTGTGAGTTGGTTTCAGGTCTTTTTTATATATATGAAGAAGGAAGAAAGGTCTGCTGTATTTCAGTCAAAAGGATACACTCCCTTTTGTGCTGTGAAATCTGTCTTTTCTGTATTTGTTCAGTAGTTTTCCAACTCAGATAAATTAAATGTTCTGGCCAACACAACATTGTGACTTTTTCATTAACTTCTTACTGTCTAGATTTATTCATACAGTAAGAAGTTAATGAAAAAGGCACAATTCAGCATGTTTCCTTATTAAACAGTTTGAAAAATCACTGGAGCTCTAGAGGTGTCTTTTTAGGGGTTTACAATAATGATTAGAATGTGGAAGGTGCTTTGTTTTGTCATTTTACATATATAATGGGTATAAGGATGGCATTTGTTATATGTTGTACAACAACAAGAAAAGTGATTCTGGGCTGTTGTGTGGTTTCCAGTCTGTAGGGCCATGTTCCAGCAGCATTTTCTCCTGACATCTTGCCTGCATCTGTGGTTGGCATCTTCAGAGGATGATTCTATTCTATTTTTTCCCCAAACACAGCAGACTAGAAGGAGCAATGAAAGGTGGTATTTTTCTAACATAATTTGGTCACTTCAAGATTAGGTTTCTTTGAATATCTGTATCTATAACAAAAGCCAGTGTTTGTGGGTATATATGTATCTGGTTGGGCAGCAGGCAATGTATTTTTCTGGCCAGGTATCCGACTTCCACAGACCACGGTGACCCCCATGAACTATGGACCTGGACCAAACTTGGCACACAGATCCCCTCCCCAATGACCCACTTTATATCCTAGTGAAGTTTGGGGGATGGATCGTGATGGATTTTGCGGTTCCTTCACCTACATCCAGAAGCCACTGCAACCCCCACCAATGATGGACCTGGACCAAACTTGGCACACTGACCGCCCCCTCCCATGACCCACTTTATGTCCTGGAGAGGTTTGGGGGAGGATGGACCATGAACAATGGGATTTGCATTACCTTCACCCATATCCAGAAACTACTGAAAACCCCATCAGCCATGCATATGGACCAAGCTTGGCACACAGATCCCCCTGCCCCATGATACACTTTACGTCCTGCAAAGTCTGGGAGAGATTGGACCACACATGATGGGATTTGCAGTACCTTCACCCACATCCAGAAACTACTGAAAACCCCATCAGTTATGGATATGGACCAAACTTGGCACACAGATCCCCCATGATCCACTTTACATCCTGGTAAGGTTTGGGGGAGGATGGACCATGAATGATGGGATTTGTGGTAGTTTCATCCACATCTAGAAACTATTGAAAAGGAAAACACATCATCCATGGCTCTGGACCTTCACCCATCTGAAAACCCCATCAGTTATGGATATGGACCAAACTCAGTACACAGACACACATCCCATGATGCACTTTATGCCCTTTATGTCCTGCAGAAAGTTGGGAGAGGATGGACCATGGACAATGGGATTTGCAGTACCTTCACCCACATCCAGAAACTACTGCAAACCCCATCAGCAATGGATATGGACCAAACTTGGCACACAGATGCCCATGTCCCACTTTACATCCTGGTAAGGTTTATGGGAAGATGGGACCATGGATGATGGGATTTCAAGTACACACACATCCAGAAACTATTGAAGAGAAAAACCCATCATCCATGGATCTGGACCAAACTTGGCACACAGTTGATGGCATTTGCAGTACCTTCACCCATCTGAAAACCCCATCAGTTATGGATATGGACCAAACTTGATACACAGACACGCATCCCATGACACAAGTTGGGGGAGGATGGACCATGTACAATGGGATTTGTGGTAGTTTCTCTCACATCCAGAAACTACTGAAAAGGAAAACCCATCATTCATGGATCTGGACCAAGCTTGACACACAGAGGATGGGATTTGCAGTACCTTCACTCACATCCAGAAACTACTGAAACCCCATCAGTAATGGATATGGACCAAACTTGGTACAGAAACCTCCATGCCATGAGACATTTTACGTCCTGCAGAAAGTTGGGGGAGGATGGACCATGGACAATGGGATTTGCAGTACCTTCACCCACATCCAGAAATTACTGAAAACCCCATCAGATATGGATATGGACCAAACTTGGTACAGAGACCCCCATGCCATGAGACATTTTATGTCCTGCAGAAAGTTGGGGGAGAATAGACCATGGACAATGGGATTTGCAGTACCTTCACCCACATCCAGAAATTACTGAAAACCCCATCAGTTATGGATATGGACCAAACTTGGTACAGAGACCCCCATGCCATGAGACATTTTACGTCCTGCAGAAAGTTGAGGGAGGATGGTCCATGGACAATGGGATTTGCAGTACCTGCACTCAGAAATTACTGAAAACCCCACCAGTTAGGTATATGGACCAAACTTTGGTACACAGACCCCTCCCTTATGACCCACTTTATAACCTGGTGAGATTTGGGGGTGATGGATCCTGGACGATGGGATTCGCACATCCAGAAACTACTGAAAACCCCATCAGTTAGGTATATGGACCAAACTTTGGTACGCATACCCCCCTCCCTTATGACCCACTTTATAACCTGGCGAGATTTGGGGGGGTGATGGATCCTGGACGATGGGATTCGCACATCCAGAAACTACTGAAAACCCCATCAGTTATGGATATGGACCAAACTTTGGTATGCAGACCCCCTTCCCCCATGACCCACTTTATAACCTGGTGAGGTCTGGGGGGTGATGGATCCTGGACGATGGGGTTCGCACATCCAGAAACTACTGAAAACCCCATCAGTTATGGATATGGACCAAACTTTGGTACGCAGACCCCTCCTCCATGACACACTTTATAACCTGGTGAGGTCTGGGGGGGGGGGGGGGGATGGATCCTGGACGATGGGATTCGCACATCCAGAAACTACTGAAAACCCCATCAGTTATGGATATGGACCAAACTTTGGTATGCAGACCCCCTTCCCCCATGACCCACTTTATAACCTGGTGAGGTCTGGGGGGTGATGGATCCTGGACGATGGGGTTCGCACATCCAGAAACTACTGAAAACCCCATCAGTTATGGCTATGGATCAAACTTGGCACCCAGACAACCCCCTGGCCAATGACCCACTGCTTCTTACCTGCGATGATGGCTGGGTTGCTCTGCCCGCCTTCAGGTCTGAGCCAGGCTTCCACTGTGAACTCCCCGCGAGGCAGCTCAGCCAGGGCGCCCGGGCGGAGAAACAGCTGCTCTTTCCGGCCAGAGAAGTACAAGGCGAAGGCAGAGGAGGAAGAAGGGCGCAAGGGGGGCCCCTTCTCGCCGCCCCAGGCCTCCCCCGCACCGCTGGTGCTCCGGGCGCGCCTCCGCCGCCAAGGAGGCCAGGCCACCCCGGTGCCCGTTGCCGCCCGCGGGTAAGAGGCGTAAGGGTTGGGCGGGCGCGCCCCTGTGGCCTTGGTCCCGCCCAGCAGGCAGCGCTGGTCTCCCGCGAGAGGCTCGGAGCCCCGCAACGCCGCCAAAAGCAGCACTAGCAGCACTGAGGCCGCCGGACAGAGCCCTCCTCGCCGCATCCTCAGGCGAAAGAGCCGCCTCTTGTTCTTGTTGTTGTTCTTCTTCTTCAGGGGTTCCGCCTCTGCCGGGGTCCCATCCTTCGCACGCGCGCGCCGTCGAGCCTTTGCCTCGCTCCTCTTTCCCTCACCTCTGAGGAGAAGCGCTCCCTCGCGCCTTTATTGGAGGAGGGCGGGAGACGGAGGAAGCGGCTCATACATTCTGCCCGGCTATAAGCCACGCCCCCTGCCCCTCCCCTCGCCCCCACCCCCCCTCGCGCTCTTCTTGATCCCTTCTCCTTTCCCGCCCTGAGGTGCTTCCCTGCGAGGGAGAGGCGGGAAGAGAGACTCTCTCTCCCTCTCCCCCCCCCCCGCCTTCACTCCCCGCCCTTTCCAACCTGCGCGCGCCGAAGCACGCGCGAGGGACTTCGCTCAGGAAGGACTCAAAGTTGGAAGGCTTTTCGAAGCAGCACGCGCTCACTCCAGAAGGGGCGGGGGAAGAGCACAGGTGCGCGCGCTCTTTCCTTTCCCCGTCGCTGTCCTTTCAAAGTCTCGTTTCGATCTGGAACACCTCAGCAAGCAAGAGTCCAACAGTGGCAGGCTCAAACCCAGAGGCGGCCCTAGGTAATTTTCAACAGTGTTGTTCATTCGTTCAGTCGTCTCCGACTCTTCGTGACCTCATGGACCAGCCCACGCCAGAGCTCCCTGTCGGTCGTCACCGCCCCCAGCTCCTTCAAGGTCAGTCCAGTCACTTCAAGGATGCCATCCATCCACCTTGCCCTTGGTCGGCCCCTCTTCCTTTTGCCTTCCACTTTCCCCAGCATCATTGTCTTCTCTAAGCTTTGCTGTCTCCTCAAATCCGTTGATATTTGAAACATAATGAAACCTGAGGACCTAACAGTGGTAGATGTGTTCTACTATTGTAGCAAGTTTCACCCCAATATTTATTTATTTATTATTTATTTACTTTGCTTATATACCGCTGTATCTCAAGCCCGAAGGCGACTCACAGCGGTTCACAAACAGTAAAAACAGTAGAAACAGCAGTGGTTCCATACAACATATAACAATTGACTTAACACATTATCCATTAATTACCAATAAGCAATTACAATGCACAATTATTACAAAAAACAACCGTACCCAATCTTCTCATCATCCAAGCGTAGTCCAGGTTCGTCGTCCATTGTTCCATTCCTATGTTCCATTACCAGATTGCACTAAATTACTCAAACGCCTGCACAAACATCCAGGTCTTCACCTTTTTGCGGAATATCATCAGGGAAGGAGCCAGTCTGATGTCCACGGGAAGGGTGTTCCACAGCCGAGGAGCCACCACCGAGAAGGCCCTATCTCTCGTCCCCGCCAGCCGTGCTTGAGAAGCAGGCGGGATCGAGAGCAGGGCCTCCCCGGAAGATCTCAAAGTCCTGGTGGGTTCATAGGCAGAGATGCGGTCGGATAGGTAGCTTGGGCCGGAACCGTTTAGGGCTTTAAAGGCCAACGCCAGCACTTTGAATTCAGCCCGGTAGCAGATCGGTAGCCAGTGGAGCTGGTGCAGCAGAGGAGTTGTATGCTCCCTGCGCTCCGCTCCTGTTAGTATCATGGCTGCCGAGCGTTGGACTAATTGGAGCTTCCGAGCCGTCTTCAAAGGCAACCCCACGTAGAGAGCGTTGCAGTAGTCTAAACGGGATGTAACCAGAGCGTGGACTACCGTGGCCAAGTCAGACTTCCCAAGGTACGGGCGCAGCTGGCGCACAAGCTTTAGCTGTGCAAATGCTCCCCTGGTCACCGCCGAAACCTGGGGTTCCAGGCTCAGCGATGAGTCCAGGGTCACACCCAAGCTGCGAACCTGCGTCTTCAGGGGGAGTGCGGCCCCATCCAACACAGGCTGTAACCCTATGCCCTGTTCGGCCTTGCGACTGACCAGGAGTACCTCTGTCTTGTCTGGATTCAATTTCAATTTGTTCGCCCTCATCCAGACCGTCACAGCGGCCAAGCACCGGTTCAGGACCTGGACAGCCTCCTTAGTAGCAGGTGGAAAGGAGTGACAGAGTTGGACATCATCCGCGTACAGATGACAGTAGTTGTAAAAATAAGGGACAAAGGGTCCCTAAAATTTCCCCACTTGCGCAATTGCTATAACAAAAACTAACAAGGTTTCTTAACAAAATTTGCACTAACAATACTTTAGAAACACTTTAGAAACGAAACGATGACACACCCTAATTTTGTAATGAGTTTTCAAATATTTTTTTCATTGATTGCACAGTCCTAGCAGGCATTACTGGGATTGGAATTACCTGGCTGACTTGGCATCTTTTGTGAAAGATTTGTGTGTGTATGTTAGGTCACCAAACCCTCGACTACTTGCTTTGTCCTAGCACTCATAAAACATATTTGTTGTTGTTGTTGTTCATTCGTTCAGTCGTCTCCGACTCTTCGTGACCTCATGGACCAGCCCACACCAGAGCTCCCTGTCGGCCGTCACCACCCCCAGCTCCTTCAAGGTCAGTCCAGTCACTTCAAGGATGCCATCCATCCACCTTGCCCTTGGTCGGCCCCTCTTCCTTTTTCCTTCCACTTTCCCCAGCATAATTGTCTTCTCTAGGCTTTGCTGTCTCCTCATGATGTGGCCAAAGTACTTCAACTTTGTCTCTAGTATCCTTCCCTCCAATGAGCAGTCGGGCTTTATTTCCTGGAGGATGGACTGGTTGGATCTTCTCGCAGTCCAAGGCACTCTCAGAACTTTCCTCCAACACCACAGCTCAAAAGCATCGATCTTCCTTCGCTCAGCCTTCACTAAGGTCCAGCTCTCACATCCGTAGGTTACTACAGGGAATACCATGGCTTTGACTAGGCGGATCTTTGTTGCCAGTCTGATGTCTCTACTCTTTACTATTTTATCGAGACTGGACATTGCTCTCCTCCCAAGAAGTAAGCGTCTTCTGATTTCCTGGCCACAGTCTGCATCTGCAGTAATCTTTGCGCCTAGAAATACAAAGTCTGTCACGGCCTCCACATTTTCTCCCTCTATTTTCCAGTTGTCAATCATTCTTGTTGCCATAATCTTTTTTTATGTTTAGCTGCAACCCAGCTTTTGCGCTTTCTTCTTTCACCTTGATTAAAAGGCTCCTCAGCTCCTCCTCGCTTTCGGCCATCAGAGTAAGCAAACAGTATTTTGGCGCGCCCCCCCCCAACCAATCACTGTTCCAGGCAAAGTACAAGGTGTTGGCAGGGGCGGCTCGTCCATTACTCGAAGTAAGCGGTCGCAGTACACTTTTTTTTTTGCCAGGGGCGCAGAGGTGCCTCAGTAAATGCCCCTCAACCACCACTTGAGGAGTGCCCCCTTGGCTCACAACAGCCCTAGCAGTCCGGGGGAAGCCTCAGCAACCCATTACGCAAAGTAAGCATTTGCAGTATAGTTGATTTTTCCCAGGGGCACTCTTGAGGTGCTCTTGGGGGAAAATAGACCTTGACATATGTGAGTTGTAGTTTATTTATTTATTTATTTATTTATTTATTTACTGCGTTTATATACCGCAATTCTCAGCCCAGGGGCGACTCATTGCGGTGTACAACATGAAAAAACAAGTGCAATCTACAAAGCATAGTGCAAAACAGTCTACAATTCATCATAATCATAAAAAACATCTTATCAAAACAACAACATTACTACAAAATTACTACTCCATTCCGAATCGTCTCATCGTCAAGCCACAATCCGATATCATTTCCGTTGTTCCATTCCTATGGTCAATTGCCAGTTACTGGGATGTATAGTTCACCTACAATCAAAGAGCATTCTGAACTCCACCAATGATGGAATTGAACCAAATATGGCTCACAGAACTCCCACGACGAACAGAAAATATATATCAATGATTGGTTGGGGGGGGGGGGTGCGCCAAAATACTGTTTGCTTACCGTTGAAAATTACCTAGGGCCGCCTCTGAGCAGAGGGCCAGGTCACAGTCCCTCAAACTGTTGGAGGGCCAGATTATAATTTGAAAAATAAAACATGAATTCCTGTGCACGTGGCACATATCTTATTTGTAATGTAATAAACACTTAAAAACAATATTAAAATGAGGAACAATGTTAACAAATATAAACTTATTAGTATTTCAATGGGAAATGTGGCCCTGCTTTTGGCTGACGAGATAGGATTGTTGTTGTTGTTATGCTTTCAAGTTGTTTCAGACTTAGGTTGACCCTGAGCGAGGGCCGGATAAATGACCTTGGAGGGCCGCATCCGGCCCCCGGGCCTTAGTTTGAGGACCCCTGATATTTTCTGTTCATGGTGGGAGTTCTGTGTGCCATATTTGGTTCAATTCCATCATTGGTGGAGTTCAGAATGCTCTTTGATTGTAGGTGAACTGTACATCCCAGTAACTACACTTGCTGCACTTGCTCCCTTGCCTGGCCCGCTTTGGGTCCGGAGGCGTGCCTGAAGACCCCGGCGTGTGCACCAAAAGTCACCTCTTCTCCTGACTTTCTCCTCAGCCATTGGGACCGAGAGAGAGAGGAGGTGGAGATGCCCACCTTTCCTGAAGGTAGGCGCAAAAACAAAGGAGGGAGCGGAGGTGGGAGATACCTCCAGCCGGAGGGTCTCTCTCTCTCTCTCTCTCTCTCGGTCCCAATGGCTGAAGAGAAAGTCAGGAGAAGAGACGACTTTTGGTGCACACGCTGGGGTCTTCAGACATTCCTCCGGACTCGAAGCGGGCCAGGCGCGGCGGCTCCGCCCCTTGGCCCACCCGCGGATTGGGGAGAGGAGAGGAGGTGGGTGGAGCGCCCGGGGGATCGGGAAAGGGAGCCTGTCATGGGGAAGGGATCGAACGCGGAGAACGATTGAGCACCGGCTCTGCTCGCGCACCCGGTGGCCAGGTGGAGCAGGAACGAGAGGGGCTAGGCAAGGCTCAAGGGCCCGGCCCCTTTGGGAAGAGGATCGCCCAGCAGCAAGGCAAGAAAGCCGAGGCTCCCCCCGGACTGCTAGGGCTGTTGTGAGCTGAGGGGGCGCTCCTCAAGTGGCAGTCAAGGGGCATTTACAGAGGCACCTCTGGGCCCCTGGCAAAATAAAAGTGTTCTGTGACCGCTTACTTCGCGTAATGGACAAGCCGCCCCTGTCTGTGATTGTACGTGAACTATAAATCCAAACAACTATAACTCCCGAATGTCAAGGTTCTATTTCCCCCAAACTCAACCAGTGTTCACTTTTGGGCATATT